CTCATGGCTTCCAGGACCAGATACCACACAGCCAGTGAGGTGAATGCAGGAGGGGTTTCTGAGGAGGGCAAGGTGCCGCTGAGGGGTTGGGGAGGCGGGGAGCGGGAGACAGAAGAGGGGAGAAGGATAGAGAGGAGGAGAGAGGTAGGTGGAGAGATTGAGAGAGACAGGAAGAGGGAGAGAGGGAAAGAGGGAGAGAGGAGAGAGAGGAAGGAGATTTGTGCATGGCTGACGAGATCTGTGTCACTGGCTGGTGGCATTGTTCAGCCACCTTGGACTCTCTGTTATGATTCTAAAGGAGTGGCCCAGAAGCTAAGGTCCACCTGTGGAGTTCATCCTGGATCGTCGGCCCCCTGAATTCCCAGTCAGGGCTCACACCCCCACAGCACTGATGCAGTTGGCCCCCCATCGTGAATATCAGTTGAAAGCCTGCAGAGATGGGAAGAACCCTCAGGAGAACTTGGACACTGTTTCATCTGGTGGTGTCTCTCATGGAGAAGCCCTGGGGCGAGGAGGGGTGGGCACACACCCCATTAGGAAGCCTGAGCTCGAGGTGACAGCTCTGTGGGCTTGTCGGGCAGAGCTGGGCGTCCCAGCGGCTCTGAGGCTTGATTGGGCACAGGCAAACTTGCCTTCAGTGGAGTCATGACTTGCTACATTTCTACACACTGCTCCAGATGGACACTGCTGTATTTTGGTGTATATACTTCTAGACCTTTTGCTTAAAAAGTAAGGCCATAGTAGTAATCATGTTGTACAAGCAATTTCCTTCCTGCTTTTTTTTTTTAAACGTGAGCATTACTGAGTTATTTTACCCCAGTGTTTTAACCGTCATACTTAAGTCTGCCTAAGATCTCATCAAATCGCTGTACCGTAATTTATACAACCTCTTCCCTCCTCTTGGATATTTAGGCTGCTTCCTGTTTTTAGCTGTTACAAAGAAGAAGTTGCAAAATGTAGAGATCTTATCCAAAGGAATAAAACCAACGAGTGAAGGGAGGGGAAATAATTTTGGTTGGGGAGGATTTCTGATCTCTCTCAAATCCTTCCTCACAGGACCAGCCTTCTTCGGAATTCTGTTTCCTTGGCACAAACTTTGGCTTCGAAGAGTCTGTCCTCCTACCCCCTTTAGCCTCTCTCTCTGTCCTTGCCCCGCCCTGCTCTCAGCTCTCTTCCTTAGCCGAGGTGAAGAAGCGCTCTCTCCCACTGTCATGGGGGGGAGGCGTGGAGTTAGCGGGACTGATGCTCAGCCAAGGAACAATGCTCAGAAACCCGGAGCAGAGACGTCATTTGCAAGAATAAAGGGCGCAGACCGTGACCTGCTTCCTGGCAGACACACTGTTTTTGTGCGAGAAAGATGAATTTAGCCTCTATACATCATCCTGACCATGCGCTCCCACAAGGGCTTCCCCATCCACAGGGTGGGAAATCTTGGAGCTTTGGGGATGAGAGTGACGTGGGGACTGTTTGGGCCCCTGTTGGTGACCCAGCCTCTGGCTTCTATTTCTACAGGATGATCAGCATATGGTCCACGGTAATCTCCCAGGCGAGAAAATGTCCTCATGGCTACATGGCCATACCATGGAGACTCTAGATTGTTCCCTTGAGGGGTTTGTACCCTCTGTCCTTAAAGCTGGGAAACATAATTGACCCAGTTTAATTTGTGATGGGAGTATTCTTGGTTTGGTAAGAGAGAAGATTGTACCAACAGTCAGGGGGAAATCTTATCACACAAGGAGGCAGCAGTAAGGTGGAAAACACACACCTGGGGCTGGGGATTTGGCTTTGTGTTCTGGCTTTGCTGCTTTCCAGGCAGGTGATCTTGGGTGAGAAGTCTAACCTATGTGGGCCTCAGTCTCGTCATCTGTGAAATGGGAGGAATGAGGCGCCGGCCCCATGGCACCATGGTTAAATTTGCACTCTCTGCTATGGCAGGCCAGGGTTCGCCAGTTCGGATCCTGGGTGCGGACATACGTGCTGCCTATCAAGCCGTTCTGTGGCAGGCATCCCACATATAAAGTAGAGGAAGATGGGCATGGATGTTAGCTCAGGGCCAATCTTCCTCAGCAAAAAAAGAAGAGGATTGGCAGCATATATTAGCTCAGGGCTAATCTTCCTCAAAAAAAAAAAAAAAGGTAAAGAAAAAAAAGAAATGGGAGGAATGAGATCCTGGTCCTCAGGGCTTGTTGGTTGGTCCCAGAAGCTGGCGTATGTGGAGGCTACTCAGCTGTAAGGCATGTGCATCTGGCTTCCCACATCGGCCGTCCTGCCATGCAGATACCCCATGTGGTGTGATTGGGGCGGGTGACCCAGACCTAAGCCAGGCAGAGCATGAGTTGTCCAGACAGGATGAGTCTAAGGGGCCTGAAAAGAGGCTCGGGGGAAGGGAGTGTGGAAAGACTGCTGCCATCTTGTGGCTACAGAGAAGGGCTGGAAAATGGAATCCGAGCTGAGATGGAGAGACACCAGATCCTAGGGCCTTTGATTGAGTCCCTGAATCCAGCTGTGCCTGAAGCTGACCTCTGGAGTTTTCAGTTGCAAGAGTTAGAAGTCTCCCTCTTTTGCTTAAGCCAGTTTGAGTTGTTTTTTTTTGTTACTTGAAATCAAGAGTCTAGACTGATACATTCTTTTCTCCAGTTTACTGTCTTTTGTAATAATGGAGGGAAAAGAGAAAGGTGACATGGAACCTCGGATGGTTAGAGCGGTACCGGCCTTCAGGACGATCTAATTCCGCCCAGGTGCTTAAGGCGAGACTGTCATGGGCCCCAACACTTCTGCCTTTGTGGACCCCTTCCTCCATAGAAAACCCAAACACAAAACACGCACACACACACAACCATTTTGCTACTGTGTTAGCATAAAGATGAATATAACCCAGGACAGATTGTATTCATTTTTTTCTTATTTTGAGATAAATTAAAACATTTCCTTGGGCCCTAGGCAGAGTGCCTGTTGTGCTAACGGGTGAGCCAACTCTAAGGGTGATCTTTTCTCCTGCTTGTATATGGTTTTGCCATGGGCATACATTTATAATGAACAGTGAGTTCCTACTTACAAGCAAATCACCTTTTCAATTTCTCTATGATGCAATTAAGAGCAACATCAACTGAGACCCAGTTTTTGACTTAGAACACGTATAAGCAATGCTGTGTTCTGATGGGTGGGGGCTCAGACCATTCATCCCTTCTAATTGACTGAATGCATTTGTGGTCTGATTGGCTTGAGTGTGATGGGGGGGAGTGTCTTAGAGCAATGCTCACTTCTGATTGGCTGAATACACTAGTGGTCTGATTGGCCAGAATGTGATAGGCTAATACTAAGAGCACTGCTCACTTCTGATTGGCTGAATACACTAGTGGTCTGATTGGCCAGAATGTGATAGGCTAATACGAAGAGCATTGTTCACTTCTGATTGGCTGAATCCATACGCTGGCTTATTGGTCTGGGTGTCAGGCAAAGCCCCACGTGCTCAAGACTGCAGGCTGAGAAAATGGAATGGAACACATTGGTTGTACCAGGCAGAAGCTCCCCATGTGTGTTAAGAAATCTCTAGCACGAAATGCCCCCACTACAAGTCTTTCTGTAAAAGTTGTGCAAAACTCAGGGCCCTTGATTTTGTGGAGTGACCTACAGCTGTCCCTTCGTGGATGTGGATGTTGGGTATCCTGACCTCACTGACCGGCTGGATGCTGCGGTTGAGACCAAGGGTCCTTCTGGCTTTGTCTCCCAGTGCATCCTGGCCTACAAGAGCATGGGGATGGGAAAGACAGCTCTGGTGTTCAGCTCGCTCTTATCTTCTCTCCCATATACCCCAGCTCCTCCCTGGCTTTTCCTCAAAGAGTTGCCAGTCTGAAGCCCTGGGACTCTGCCAGTGTAACTGGAGCAAGATAAGTGTAGACTACTTTTCCAAATGTTACGACGAAGCAATCCATCCTAAATACATGTTAGACTTAAGCAATGGGTCTCAGAGTGGGACCTCAGACCAGCAACATCAAGGTCACCGAAATAATGTTAGAAATGCAGATTCTCAGGCCCCATCCCACCCCTAGGGAATCAGAGACTCGGGGTGTGGCCCAGGAATCCTTGATTTAACAAGGCTCCCAGGTGACGTGGATGCACACTCAGGTCTGAGAACCTGTGCTCTGTTGGAGGTCTCTCCCCAAAAGAACGAAGACTTTTCCTTACTTTGGAGGAGGCCTTTCCACGACAGCTTTGCTAACTGCAAGCCCGGCAGACAGGCGCCCCAGGCCAGCCGGCTCTCTCCCAGGCAGGCAGGCCCTGAGACCCGAGGGGCCTCGCACCGGGGCTCCACGAGCCCGGGTGTCCCGGGAATCCCGCTCCAGCGTCTCCTTTAGGTCCTTCATCAACACCCAAGAAGAATAGGTCAAACCCCTGTACACGTCTTGACCTTTACTTCTCTTAATGATGTGACAGCCTAGCCATTTGTGTTATCTAAGAAGCTTGAGAGACGGTGTCACTGTGCCGTGACCACGGGACCACGTTTTCCCTAGGATGGAAGATCCCGGCCAAAGCGCGCGGATCCCCGCAGCTGCCCAGCATGGCCACTAGATGGCGCTGTTGCACTTTCCTGCGGACTCCGCGGGGCGCGCCGCGCCGCCACCCCGCTTCCCTGGGTCCCACCAGAGTGCCTGAAGTGAAATAACAACGTGCCATTGTGAGCAGAGGCCTATTTCACTAAGATGTCCAGGAAATGATATGCAGCCAGGAGGCTTTGGCCAGAGGGAACGCTGACTGGGGGATTGTAGCGGGAAAGCCCCTTAGGACTTTGTAAGCTCCCTCCCCACGCGCTGCATGTCTCCCCCCACCCCAAGCCCTGGCCCCTGGGGGTGGCAGAGCTGTGGTCACAGGCCCTAATATCAGTCGTGGGAGGAGCGCTTGTAAAAGTGGCGACAGGCTATTTTCTTCTCCGGGGAAGCCTCTAATCTGATTGCATCCCTCTCATTCTTTTGTGTGTCTGTGCATCAATTCAACCGCGACAGGGAGTAAAAGGAAAAACACCACAGATTGGCAAGGGACCTGCAGAAGGCTCAGATGGAGGAATAACAATCTGCTGCGTTTGAGGACATCGGGGCTGGGCGTGAACGAGCGGGCATGTGGGCTGTGCGCAGCAGGCTGGGACCCGGTTTAGGGGCAACTCAAGGTCGGACGGAGCGCAGGACAGCTGTAGCGCCTGGGAACTTCGGAGACCCCACTGTGTGCGAGGCTCTGTGAGTGCTGGGGAGTAGGGGCGCCCCTTCCAGAGACCCCCAGGGGGTGGAGTCTCCTGATTGTGAGGCTGTAATAGTTGTAAACACAACTGCAGCAGCGAGGATGAAACGCTTACCCAGCCGGGCACTGTTCTAACAGAACCAACTCCTGCCGTCCCCACCACACCCCAGGAGGGTGGGACTGTTGCTCCCAGTTTACAGGTGAGGAAATAGAGTCCCAGAGAGGGGAGTCAGGCAACACGGCAAGGAAGGGCAGAGGCAGGATTCACCAGTGGAACTTCTGATTCCAGAGCCTCTTGCCCACCAAGCTGGCAGCCCCAAGGGCCTCCAGGAGTGGTCCCACTGAGGAGGCTGTCCCTGTTGGGGCCTCTTGGGATTCGTCTGTTCTCATTGGCATCAGGGTCAAAGAGATGCCAGAGGTCCCAGTGCTCTGGGGCCACGTTCCTCCACTGGAGGCGCCCGTGTCCTCCAGAGCAGCTCCACAGGCTCTGGGGCTGCTGGAGGGAATCATATAACCACCACAGGGCACTGCTTCAATTTGACCGAGGAGGTCTAAAAGAGAGCGCCCAGGCCCCCAGGACTGCAGATGGGCACTGGTGAGGCTGCAGCTTGATTTGTTATTTTTGATGAGGAAGATTGGCCCTGAACTAACATCTGTTGCTAATCTTCCTCTTTATTATTATTTTTTATTTTTATTATTTTATTATTTTATTATTTTTTCTCCCCAAAGCCCCAGTGCATAGTTGTACATCCTAGTTGTAAGTCCTTCTAGTTCTTTACGGGACGCCGTCACAACATGGCCTGATGAGCGGTGTGTAGGTCTGTGCCCAGGATTCCAACTGGCGAATCTAGGTCACTGAAGCTGAGCAAATTTAACCACTTGGCCACCAGGCCAGCCCCAGGCTGCAGCTTTAGAATCAGACTTCTTCCCAAGAAGGGAAACCTGGCCAGAGGTGCAGGGGGGCAAGACCAGGCCTGGGAAAGCGGGAACCCCTGGATCAGGGCAAGCAGCCAGCCAGAGCCAGATATGTCCAGGGGAACCAGAGGGAAGACGAACTTGCAGGGAGCATGAAGTACAAGGGTAGGAAACAGCTGTGTGGATGGCACCCCAAGAGCTGAGCGTGGCTCCCCAGAGGTGGTCTGGTCTCAGTGAGGCACTCCCGTCACCTGTCACCTGACTGCTCAAGCCCCAGGCCCCTCCCTTGCTTCCTGCACCAGGGCAAGCGCATCCGCTAGACCCATTAGGACCACTCCCAAGTCTTTAACTACTCCAGCCTCCTTCAGCTCCGGCTTAAGTTTTTGTGAAACATGGTCTAATGTAGGTTTCCGATTTTGTACCTCCTCATAGGCTCCCCATTTCACTCTCTTATATCTTTTTGAACTTCTCCCTCCAGCCTTGAAGAGTGAATTTACTTGCGACTTTTGGTTTGTCTTCTGCCTCCTCCTCCAGTCTGTCAGCTCCATGAGACTGTTGGTTTCCATACCCACTGGGCTAGGACCTAGAGAAGCTTCTGGAACATAACGGATACTGGAGAACATTGGAACAGGTACTCTCCTGGGCCCCACGCTGCCTCCTGCATCTCTACCTCTGCCCGCAGTCACTCAAAGATCAGATTTAAAAACCAACTTTTTGGAATGATTTTAAAATTTGGGATGATTTTAAAATTAACAAGAGTTGCAAAAAATACAAATAGTACAAGGAGCCTCCGTGTACGCTTTGCTCAGATTTGCTCTGGGTGTCATGTTGTTTCTGACCCGTTCTAGACCGGTGCATCATCTTGGCCCTTCAATCCTGAAGATTTCAGCGTGTGTTTCCTGAGAATGGAGCTGATCTCTTATGTCATCACAGTTATCAACATCATCGATTTTCGTTGACACCATACTTTCCTCTAATCTACTGTCTGTATTCTAATTTTGTCACTTGACCTAATAATGTCCTTTAGAACATGTCCCCTGTGATACATCCAGTCAAGGGGCAGATGCTGCGTTTAGTTGTCTTGTCTCTGCAGACCCCTTAATCTGGAACGTTTCCACAACATTTCTTTCTTTTATGACAGTGACATTTTCCAAGCACATAGTACCTCTGCTTTATTTTTTTTTTTTCCAGCGGAATGTTCTTTATTTTGTGCTTGTCCGGTGCTGCCTCGTGGTCATGCTGGGGCACAGTGCTCCTCCTCAGGTGTGACAGCTGGAGGCAGATTTAAATTCAGAACCTTCCTCACGTGCCGTCTCCCAGCTCCAGCCAGTTCTGTTTCTCTGCTCCCACAGGATCCGTGCAAATGCTGTAGCACCAAGAGGTGGCTCTTTTTCAATGTGAGCTCTGAAAAAAAAGGCTTTCCTGTCAGTTGTGGTGAGGCGACCTGAACGAGCCCCGTGGCTTCTGGTGGGAAGGCCTGACTTTAAGCCGGAGCAGCGCCGGCGGCCCCCACGCTTCCCAAAGGCACTTTCTCTGTTCTCGCCACCAAGGCCGTGCTGTGAAGTCCCCCAGGAGCAGATCCGGGCTGGGAACAATCCCCCTTTTACCTCCTTGGCCGTGTTGCTGTGTAGTTCTGAAAACACTCCACCGCGTGTAATGCCGCAGACGGCAGGGCTTGGGAAGGGACCACTTGGAAGGCTCGGTCGCATGGGGAGTGCTGCTAAAATGCTAATGTCCCAAGAAGAGGGGACATTGGAAGCCATCGCTGGCCATGGGCTCCTGGAGATGACCCACTAACTGAGTGTCACTGGGAAGGGCATTGTGGAGAGCTGGACCACAGGGCCCCGGGGCTGCAGCAGTGACACCCTTGAAAGTGGCCTTTTCTGCGTGGTCCTTGCTGGTGCCAGAAAAGAAAAAAAGACACATCTTTTTCGATGCTTTAAACTGTCCATGGGGAAGGCAGCCTGGGGAGGTGGAAACAGAGCCCATGTTTGGGTCTTGGGGTCAAATCTTGGTTCTACCTCTGATGCCTGTGGAGCCTTAACTGCTCCCAAGCCTCTTCTGTGTTCGAAGTTTGTAGCAATGATAGAAGAGAGAATGTGTGCACCAGGTGTTGTGTTTGGACACAGTTGTGCTTCCAAAGTGTGGTGTCCTTTCTCCTTCCTGCTCCTGGCTGCCTTCTCCGCTCACTCCTCCAGCACTGAGATGAGGAGGGACCTAACAGATGGCAGAGGGTCTGGCTGTGCCGCCATGACCCAGGCCCAAGTGGGCACAGGCATCTGCAAATGCTGGTGCTCTGGCATTTTTTCTTTTCTTTTCTTCTTTCTTTCTTTTTGGTGAGGAAGATTGGCCCTGAGCTAACATCTGTTGCCAATCCTCTTCTTGCTTGATGAAGATGGTCTCTGAGCTAACATCTGTGCCAGTCTTCCTCTATTTTGTATCTGGGATGCTGCCACAGTGTGGCCTGATGAGCAGTGTGTAGGTCTGTGCCCAGGATCTGAACCTATGAACCCTAGGCCGCCAAAGCAGAATGCACAAACGCAACCGCTATGCCGCTGGACCAGCCCCGTGGCATTTTTGACTGTTACTGGTTTGGCATTGTTTTGAGGGTACCCAGGATGTGTGTTGATCAGATATAGTAAGGCATGCAGACATGGAAATGAGGACTGTCATGGAGAAGAGTTTTATCAGATTCACTGTTCCGTAGAACACAGGAGGCACAATGTCCTAGGCAGGGCCATGCGGGGAAGCACCAGGGTTGGTCAGGGGGCAGAGGGAGTGAGGGGGAATCGTGGGCAAGGGCCTTTATTGTGGTTTCCATAGAAGGAAACAGCAAGGCAAGGTAAGCAGGCTTAGGACAGGCTAGTTTGGATAATTTCGGGATTCTGGGGTTTAGAGGCTGTCCCTGGCTGTCTAGAACCCAGCCCTGGGGTGAAGTGGGCAGGTGGAGAGTGGCTTTGAGGATGTGAGCCCATGGAGGAAGCGTCTGGGGAGTGGGCTCTGGATTGGCTGGTTTGCATGTGGAAGGATTCTCGGTGCCATGGAGTTGTTTACTGTCTCTAGGAATTGGCTAACTCTGGAAGAGGCGGTCCCTCCAGGGTCAGCAAGGCCTGGATATCAAAGCATCAGCATACAGACAATGACAGACATGGTCAATACAGGACCTTCCATCCCTGGGAAGGAGGAAAGTCTAACTTTGGGGATCCCACCAATGAGGCTGTTCTCTGGTCCCTCACAGCCTTGGCTTGCCTTTGTGGTCTTCTAGAATGCGTGCTCCATTGCCACAAGTAAAAACTTCGTGGGTGACTGCAGACGCTGGACTTTTCATTCAAATACAGATACTTCCAGAGTTACAGAAACCTTGGCAGGCAGAGCCGTGCTTGTGGACCCCTTGTCAACAGCCTCTCTTCAATCCGTTTCTTGCTCCATCAGTCAGCCAGCGCAGTCGCCAGGGATGCTGGCCTGGGGTGCATGGGAGGGTGATGCCCAGGAAAACGATGACCCCCTGGAAGAGGGTTGCGTGCACACTTTGCATCCCAGTGTGTCTTGCCGGAGTTTGTGTTCTTTCAGAAGAAACTTGGAAGGGGGGGAAGGATTGTACAGATCAGTCTGGAACGGAAGAGTTCAGAACTCACCGAGTTGTGTTTGCAACTGGGAATGAGACCATCCTGCCACCAGCTCCAGCGCTGAGCAGCAGTGTCAAGTGGCCCTGCATGTTAGTTCCCGTGTGTGCATACATGCCTGAGTGTGTGTGTGTGCACACATAGGCTGTGGGGTGGTCAGACCTGTGTGGCTTTTATCGATAAAGGTGAAGGTCAGCGTCCAAGGTCACTTGTGGGCCCCAGTGAGAGCACACTTCGGGTGGAGAAGGAGGACCTCCTTTTTCGTGGCTCTCTGGCTGGAGACAAGGGGCTACTGATTAGGAGCAATGCTGCCTGATGTGCTGGGAGGGGCATCCGGCTAGATATCAACAACCGTGCTTGGATTGATAAAAGTTTGGAGGTTATAACTCTTTGACAGAGAGACTACAGCACGCTGGTCAAGACAAAATTAGTAATGCCCCTTCATCCAGCGTTTAGGTTTCTCCAGAGAATGTGCCCCCACTCCGTCCCTCCTTTTTCTGCTCTCATCCCTCCCTTCCATACCTGCTGTGAGCCAGTCAGTGTGTCTTAGGCACTGGGGACAAAGAACGGGCAAGAAAAGGCCCAGTGCCCACCTGGATGGAGTTTATAATCTCTTGATTGCAGCGTTATTAACATTTTGGGCCGGATGATTCTTTGTTGTGGGGGCTGTCCTGTGCACTGTAAGGTGTTTAGCAGCACCCTTGGTCTTTACCTGCTAGATGCCAGGTGCACCTCCCCTCTTTCCACAGTTTTGACAATCAAAAAATGTCTCCAGAGAGGCTGGCCCCGTGGCCGAGTGGTTAAGTTCACGCGCTCCGCTGCAGGCGGCCCAGTGTTTCGTTGGTTCGAATCCTGGGCGTGGACATGGCACTGCTCATCAGACCACGCTGAGGCAGCGTCCCACATGCCACAACTAGCAGGACCCACAAAGAATAATATACAACTATGTACTGGGAGGCTTTGGGGAGAAAAAGGAAAAAAATAAAATCTTAAAAAAAAATGTCTCCAGACATCACCCAATGTCTCCTGGGTGACACAGATCACTCTAGTGAGAACCACTGATGGAGTGGGAGACAGACGGCCAAATGAGCCTGTACCACACAGCTTACATAGCATGGGAAGGACTTCGGGGGGGCTCCATTCAGGGGGTCACAGAGTCAGGGCAGGGGGGCTGGCAGTCAGTGCTTAGTATATGCCTGTTGAGAATTGACCACAGGTCCCCCAAAAAATCCAGTCAAGAGAAGACCTGTATTAATATCATGGGATTGTCATGGATGCTCTTAATTGGCACCATCCAAAACAAGTAGGTGGCGGAATCGGTGAGTAAGATAAAGAATAAAGTGATGTTCTCTGTTCCTCTATTTTGGCCTGTCCTGCCCCTGGAAATGACAGCCATGTAGGAGAGTGAGTTCATTTGGTGGCAGCCTAGAATCGGAACTTTTTCTACTTTTCGAATAAACTGGAGTTCCCTCAGTGTTTCTGTGGCCCCTTGAAGGAGCAGCAAAGGAGAGTGTGCAAATGGATTTCTTTGTGCCTGATCCTGGGGGCCAGCCTCAGCTTTTACCAAACGTTTGGCTGTATCTGGCTCTTGGCAAGGCATAGGCATCTGCTGCCTGTGATGTCCAGCAGAAGAGTATCATCTGATTCAAGCATCCTTCTCAGAAGACGCTGTCAACACCCCCGCTTCTTCCTCCTGTGTCCAGCTGAGTTCCTTTCTCTCTGCTTAGCTCCAAGGTGTTGATGAGTCAATCATTGTGGTGCTTGCAGTTGTCTCTCAGCTGGGAATTCTGATGAGGCGGCTGTGTGCCCATGGGCGTGCGTGCGTGCGAACCAGATCTTTAGTCAACACACACTTGGTTAAAGTGCTATAAGATGCTGCTGCAAAGGATTTTAACTTGCTCATCTGACCATTGAATGAGGCCACGCCTGCTCCAGGTTTCTCAAATGGTCAAGGGTAACTGCAAGCATTTTAGAAAACAAAGCATCAAAATGGAAACTTTCTAGTGTA